AAAAGTGCTAACCCCCTCAACCCCCGCCATTTTATCGAGATGAAGCAAGGAAGAGGATAGAGAAAGGAAGAGTGGTTATGACCAAAACATGGGATTCGTCTATCGAGCTTGTTTAGGATAATATATAGAGAATGAGTTAGTTTTTGAACCCCTATCTTTATTTCTCTATTGTTGTTTTATAAATTTAATTTTTTTTTTCATATTTTTATGATGTTTTTCATCTATATTTTTTATGTGTTGCATGTTTTATATTTTCACTTGTTGATATTTTCTATGCAATTTTTTTAGTATATAAATATTTATGTAAATATTCTCTAAAGTTGAAATTTAAATAAAAAAGTTAAGTGCATATGATGTTATACAAGCAATGTAGCTTTCTAATGCAATTCATGCATATATAAGTATTGCAATGAATTATAATTTATTATTATTGCATTTACATTGTTTTTCATTGGCAAGCATTGAAGAATGTTCTGATTATATGAAAAGTGCACTCTCTTATATGTTATAAGGGCTTTATATGTTTTGTTCTTGCCTCATCTAGTTAGTGTGGATGTATGAGGGATTATGGTCCCCTTGCTAAAAAGTAGGTGTGGGGGTTATGTAGCATTGTTCTATTTTGATTGTGGCCCCACTTACTAGATCTAGGTGTAGAAGATTAAAGGGAGACATAAGTAGAAGTGGAGCTATCAAAAGACATCGAGACATGTGCATTATAATTATTGAATTAACATTATGTGTAAACTTCAATAAATTCAGTATAAGTTATTTATTCTAAACTATATTTAGTTAATTCCTAAAATTCTAATAAATCTAATGAGATGTGAAAAAATACAAGTTGAACTTCTAAAACAGGTGTTATGTGATGCATCTGAACTCTCTATGAAGGTGGTTTCAAAGGTATAAATAAGAAATTTAAAATCAAGTAAACATTGAAACCCTAAAAATCATGCTTTTTTAATAATTTATTCATTTTTTAAAAGCCATTGTACTAGTTTTAATGAATTAAGTGTTATATAATATTTAATTTGGATATTAATATATGTGATGGGCTATGAGAAGAAGTCTACTAAGTTCGTTTTGTTCATTCTATAAATTTTCTAACATTTCAAAGAAGGTAAATGCCAGTGGAAAAGAAAGGTATATAGGTTGGATATTTTGAGTCTAAGTGATCGAGGTATTGTTTTGTATTCCAATTTGAATTTCTCTTGATGTATAGACGACTAATAAATTGGATTATTACATATATATGCATCTTATTGAAATCAAACATATTAAGTTGCTTTTATTATTTTGATTATATAGTAGTTTTGGTTGTTTTTATTGGTGATTGAGAAGTTAAATTATAGGTTTAGGATTTCAATCCTTCCATTAGATGTTAGAGCTCCTTAGCTTGCTTGAGGAAATATAGAATAAAGGCTCTCTCATAATAGGCACCTTTTTCTTTGACAACATTATTTGCAAATACTTAAACTTATCTATTTTTCTCTTAGTTGTCCCAACCAGAGGCGCTTAAGGATTCATCACAACTTCAATAGAGGTTACTTCTACCTATCCAGCTAGAGACAACTTTAGTACCCATCAGCTATGATTCATAAGATTCCTCACATGGACAAGAAACCTCTTACAATTAAATGAAATAGAAATTTTATATGAATCATAGTTATTGAGTGTATCGGAGGAAGTCACCTTGTTCTCCGCATATTAAGAGGCTCATTATCTTCTTTAAATGGAGTCAAACCTCTCTTGAGCACCAACGCTAACAGTTTCACGCTCATAAGTGCTGACTCTTGTAGCTAGCAAGTTAGTTGTCATCGCCTTCATCCTAGGATTACTCATAATTCTCTTTATAGGAGAGGTTGTGGCAAGTTCAAGAGCCTTCAGCATGATTTATGCACTATCATCAATTTACTAGCATGGAAAAGGCTCACTCGCATTCTTTCCAATATATTGGCTTTGCCTATGCGAAAGGAGACATTCTTAGACACCTTCACTCTTAACCTAGCTAAAGTCACCATGAGAAAAGAGTAAAGTTCCTTTAACATAGAGCCTCTATTTATAAGGAGTCAAGGAAGAAGTGGCATCACTTCATCATCATTAATATGAATCTATGCAATAATCGATGCTATGATAAAAATAGGGCGGTAAGTTTGCATTACTTTCCTATTTCATAATCAATAGTCACAATTAATATTGATTCATTCACTCTTTCTTTCATTGCTCGCCTACCAAAAGAGCCATGTGAATTGGGAAACTAAATGTACACTCGTGTATGACTTCATAAGTATGTAGTAGGTAGTCGATAGGGTATGAGGAGAGATTTCATACACAAAGATCGCACATAAGAACTTGCCATGGAACATCAGGTGCAAACTGCTCAGTCCTACTAAGGATGGTTTCCAATCTTGATGTTCAATGGAGGATCCCATCAACCTAATAATTCGCCACTCGAAGGAATGCAACCATCATAACAACTCACCCCTGCCCAGGGTAGGTGCCTTTATTCCCCACACACATTGAATTCTAACTAAAGAAAAGTGCCTATCCCCAATGGCCTTAACTCGACCCACTATGACAAATCGATCATTAAGGTCATCTTCTCTACAGCTACAATTCACTTGCCTTCTCTATCCAATCCAAGGCTTAGCATAGGTTGCCAACGACTCTCAGGTAATTCTCAATCATCTAGCACCCCTTGCTTGGTGTTCGCCCTCAAACTTGCCCCTATTACTTGGCACTATTAATCGCGCTTAATACCACTCATCACTAATGAGCTCGCCCAAACATAAATCATCAAAACTCTACAACCCCAACTCATCCAATTAGAAGGCGTCACTTGTCTAAAATAGTTTGTATGACATTATACTTTTTACTTTTCTTAGATGCATCATTCTCTGTAATCATCAAAACCTAATGATAAAAGATAAACATGAGCATTTTGGCACCTTTATATTTTTTATCTTTAGCTAATAAAATTATTTTTAAAAGTAGTAAGAAAATTATTTTTAAAATTATTTTTAGAAGTAGTAATCATCAAAGCTCTACAATCCTTTATGTTTCTCTTTACCAACAACAACGATAACATGACCATCACTACTAAGGCTTCATTTGAGACTGTTTTCTTATTGTTTCTTAAAGTACCTTTCTAATAAAATTATTTTTAAAAGTGGTAAGAAAGGCATTCCAAACAAACAAAACCTAAGAGACTATTTAATCAGAACTTTTAAAAGTGAATTAAAAAATTCCCCTACAATTTTTTTTTTTCTTTTCGTTTGGATTGAAACATCAAACATAAAAGCAAAATAAATCTTTGAGTATTTTAAAAATACAAATCTTTCAGTTTTTTCCCTACATTTGATTAGAAGTTCATTTAAAAAACTACTTTAAGTAGTAAAAAAGACATCACAAACAAAGCCTAATAGGCTATTTAATTAGAACTTTAATAAGTGAATTAAAAAAATTTCCCCCGAATTCTCTTTTTTCTTTTAGTTTGACAAGGGCGGAGGGAGAGGGGGGCAAGGGGGGGCACGTGCCCCCCCCTAAATTTTTTTTCCCTTGGCTAAAAGTGATTTTAAAACAATTTTTTTATGAGAAAAATAAGAGTTGGAGGTATAAATTATAATTATTCAGTCAAGATTTTTAATGCACGTAATATATTCATAAAAAAGTTGTCATATAATTTATTGATCAATTTTTTTATCAAAATGGATCTTAAAAATATTGTATTTATTTTGAGATATGTGTAATTTACATTTTAATTAAATTTTTTATGTATTTCACTCATTTTAAAGTAAATTTAAGTGTGGATGATCAATTTACATAAGAAAACTAGTATTATTTTTATAAAAAATAAGACCTAACAATTCTATGATTTAACATGCAAGACTATGCTTTAGGCTTTGTTCGGAATAATTATCTTACTAATTTTAACAATAACTTTTTTATAAAAAAATTTACTCCGGCTACAATATCATATCAAAGGCACAAACGGAGACCACTCCCAAATAGCCTTTCTCTCGACTCAAGCAGCCTGTTTCGTTTTCCCCTTTGCTCCTCTCTCGCTACTCGCGACATCGTGACATCGAGCACAACTTTCGTTTTTCTTTCCGCTCCTCTCTCGCCATGTTTTTTTTTTTTTTTCGCCTCTCTCCGCACGTTTTTGCGCCTCTCTCGACATGTTATTTGCATTATTAATTTTGATCTTAGAGCTCTTTTTGACTCTAGCAATAAGTTGGTAAACATAACTATTTTAATGTATTCTAACATTTCAAATGAGATGACAAACCGCTTGAAAATTCACCATAGGAAAACCGTCGAAAAATTTATCCTAAAAAAACTGCCTAAAAATTGCGCCGATAATGAATGATTTTTCTGTAGTGTTTAATTTAGGCCCCCCCTGAATAATATTTCTGGCTCCGCCACTGGTGGGGGGGGGATCTATAAGAATTTTATAACATACAAAATTTTCATTTTCACTACATTTGATACAAAGTTTACTTAAATCAAATAAGATAAAGAACAAATCAAGTGCTAAATTAGTGCAATTGAATTTGATCTATTAATTAAAAGTTTTAACTATCATTTAAAAAATCTTAAATTTAAAACTTGCATATATATTGAATGAGCTTAACTTAATTAGCCCAAATGTCCCAAAAAAAAAATTAGTGCAATGTTTACATTAAATTAATTTTAAAACATTTAAAAAGTTAACAACCCAAATATACTCTTATATTATTAAAATATATACTTAAGGTATTATATATATATATATATATTCAATTAGAGCAAGCTCACTAGTGTTATTTAACTTGGTTAAAATAATCAACTTTTATTATGCTTGCTTGTTAACTTATAGAGCATAACAAACTATTAATGAACATAAAACCGACATAAAAAATATTTAAAAAAATAAAAAATACATATTATCACATTTGCATAAGTATATTCATATAAATATAAATAAATGAAACAAATATATATAAAAGAACTATAAGGAAAAATTAGTCGAACATACTATTTTTGGCGGAACATGATTTTTTTTAGCATCCGTATACATAAATATCACCACTCATTATAGATGCCGAATGGCGAATGTTAGCTTATAAGGTGAATAAAGCAATACTTTTTTTAACTCAGAAGATTCATTCATCTTTTTCCGGAATAAGAACTGAAAAAGGTTCAACGATGTGCATGGCCACATAGCTGCTTCTTGTACAATGGTGGGATTTACAAAATCTCTTTAAAGACGAATGCTTAAATTTTTGATATGCTACAAACGCATAGCGACACAAGAGGTCCAAAAATTGCTCCAATATTTATGATTTTGTCCACACAAAGACCTTACCACCGGCTGTGGCACCAGCAAGAGTTCCAATTTGGCAGGGGTGAGAAGCAAAGCGGCAAGGTATTGAAGTCATTTCTGGGCTTACCAAAGCCGTCGTAGTTTTGCTGGTAATAGAAATAATATCCACAGCTCTTCTCATATTTCCAAGAAACAGAAATGAGTCGTCCCACCCCCAAATAGCCCTGCGAAAGGAAAATTAATAATTTCTAACTTCAATCATTTCCTTGGGCAATATTTGGTACACTTTTTTCTGTTTTTAGTAGGAAAATAGATAAATAAAATGCAATAAAACTATCCCCCTTCAACTTTATTTCATTGCATGCTGTAACTTGTGTTCTAGATCATGCAAGCTTAGAAAAAGGTATGGATGCGTTGGAAAAATAAGGTAATCCATGGACCAAATGCATATTTAAAGGGAATTGAGGATAACCGCTACAAGGGAAAAACAATAATGTACTTAAGATACTATACGGGGATGAATGCATATTAAATGCTTGATCATTTGTAGAAATTTTTTTTCTGACATGATTCATTAAATTTTGGCAAAGAATTGGTAATGTGTTAAAGATTAAAGTAAATTACAAAACAATTTTCATGCCATCTCATCAGAATTTCATTAAAAAGAATTTTGCATTAACACAGATTACTAAACATATTAAGTTGATTCTTTTGAGTACGCTGCCTAAGAAATTATGCCAACTGTATAAAGGTAGTACATGTTAAACCAATTATTAGAAACAAGAAGAAAATACCTGAATGAGGACAACCATCTACCAGTCTGATTGTAATGATGAACCATAGATATATCATTGAGGTGGGAGAGATTGATAATTCCAACTGTATCGTCAATGCTGCGACAATAGAATAGCAACTATCGTAAGAAGGAAGAATAAATCTTTAAAAATAGCATAATTCCTTGAACAATATTAACAATGAGATATTAGAGAATTTCCGTTCCAAGATAGAAAAATAAAATCCTTCCATTTAAGCGAGCATTCCCATTTAAATTACAAGATTGTAAGAGAAACATGATAAGAAAATAGAGAACATAAACAGTAAATTAGCGAAAATCCATAAAGGTAAAGTTTGAGGAATTATTAAGAGCCACCAGAAAACACCACGAAAACTGTAGAAAGTTACCAAGAAAGAACTCTGGGAGAAGAAAAACAAACAGAAATTAATGCACTCCTTGACTCACTTCATGCACGACCATCGAGAGAAGTGGAGGGTTTGTGCAAAAAAAGAACTAAAAAAACAAAGCATAAGAGATCGATATTTATCTCCACCAAGAATGTGGTCATTACATATGAGAAAGTCCTCTTGCTAAAGAAATCATTAACCATTTTTTTCATCGCCTAAATTTCAGTTACAAAGCCCAATTGTGCATTCCCTAAAAAAATATTTTCAGATGAGAAGCAGGATCAAACTGTTTGTAACTTATTGGCCAAATAAGACTTCAAACCTTGAGTGCATGCCTCAAAAATGAACATGGTACTGTAATGGCCGGACTTCAGAAAAGGATTTCACACACACACACAAAGAGAGAGAGAGAGAGAGAGAGAGAGAGAGAGAGAGAGGAGGAGGAGGAATTCATTCTTCAATGTTCGCTTCCTGATGGTAATACTGCTATAATACAAACTGATCTTTATAGTATCAGATTAATAGATCAGTACAGATCATTCACCACAAAGAGATGTGGCAAGCTGGCTAGGAGGGAAGGTTAAGTTACTTGAGTAGGCGGCTCTATTTTATTTAAGACTATCGATAGAATTTGAGTTTCCGTTACAAACTTTTCAGAATTCATTTTAAAATGATGGAATAGTGCATAATAAATGTATTAAAAAAACACAGAATCAGGTCTTCATGCAAATTCATTACAACTACACAAGTTCCTCCACGTCATATAATTGAATATGACTTGAGCATTCATCCCTCTTCTACTGACTGAATAGTAAGAGCCAAGGTGCAAAAGAAAGTGCAACAGAGCATCATTTTAATAAGAGCATAAAAGGCTCAACTAATTTTGCAATACATTGTAGACAGATTATGACACTTGAATTCTGATTACCAGGTGAAATTTTCATCACGTGAATAATATCATGTCCGCATAAATTCAAATATATAAAATTAATAAATTATGTTTTCTAGCATATTAAAAATTGTTAAAACTAATGCTATGTGAAAAATGCAATAAATTTTTCTTTTGAATCAAGTTATGTCAGAGGGACCTTGTTGTTGCAAGGTAGTTTCCAGTGGGAGAGAAATATGCCGAATGAACAGCCCTATTATGGCGAACCACATTAAGCTGCTCCGGTTGATGATTCTTCATTCTTCTTAGGTCCCATATGCAAGCCGTTCCATCCGTTGAACTTGTAGCCATTAAATAACAATTTTCTGGACTGAAGTCTACTGAATTGATTCTGTCTTCATGAAGGCCCCATTTGCTTGAAACCTTGCCAGCTCTCTCGTCCCAATGTTTAAGATCCCCTGCTCCCTCTCCAATATAGAGGGAATCGATATCACATGGCCATTGACAAATAGAAAATATACAGTTCTCGGTAGAATATGTCACATTAAAGGTTTCCTTCTCAACATCCATCTTGCGAACTAAGCCATCATAGCTACCAGTAAATATCTGCATAAAATCCCACCAGCTTATTTTACATGACAGTTTATTTTTACAATAAAATAAATTCTCAAGAATTAAGCGTGCCAAGGACACAGGAAAGAAACCGAAAATATCAGTAAATAAGAACACACACACACATTCCCGCTAACTTTAAGATTTTGCAATTTTTATTGTGATGGAAATTACATGATTTTGAGAAAATAATCACAGAAGAAAGATGATAGCAAACCTTATCGCACCAATTCAGCCTTAACAACAAAGAATAATATACAGAAAGAAAACTTGATAAAAAGAATATTGCAGAAAGAAAAAAAAATAGAACCATAAAGGAAAAATTTTTCAGGGCAACTAAACAACCATGAAACATGCTGTTCATTCCGAAACCAAATACATGAAGTTACTGAAAACAGGCGTATGACTTCAATGAATAGATGGAGATTTCATTCCAACAAAAAAAGGCAAGCAAGTGGGCGCATGAGAAATCGCATGTTCTCCGTTTTCTGGCACACTCATCTCACACTCACTCTTCACACGCTAACTCACACACAACGAAACGGAAACAACACCATAGAGAAGCATGAACAACATAATGAAGCAAACAGCATCTTCAAACTGATAAAATTCTATGAATTACATGAAACATCCACATGCCCTAATGGAAAATAAAGTATACCAAATCACGAAGCTTAAAGAAAGGAAAGACCTTCCAATCATACTTCAGAACAAGCAAGCGTAAAATTTTAAGTGATACAGAAGAGTTATTAAGCCAATCAAAAAATATGGAGGTAAAGGACCAGCACCTTACTCACGCTTGAGGGATGAACGGAGATCCCTGAAACCGAAGCAGAATGCGGTGCATAAACGTAAATTCCGCTATCGTCCTCGTTCCCATCGCCCATCCCAAAATCCAAATCCCAGAACCCAACATTTCCCAGCTTGTTACCGACGACAACCACGGTTCGGTTAGCAGAAGGCAAGAACTGGACGCTAAGAATCCGTTCCGGAAGAACCTTTCCAACATTCTCGGGCTTCAGTACCATCGACGACCTCGGATCAAACTTGTAATCCCCCAATAGTTTTGACCTCGACCCGCCATCGACATCGGCTCCTGCAGCGGCTGCGGCCAAAATTACATCGATGAGAGGGCGGTCAGAAGCTGCAATTTCACCTAGGAACGCATCATTGATGTGGATCTGCTCGCGCTTCCGCGCAGGCGAGAGCTCAGGCTTTGGAGAAGGCGGGAACGGTGAGGAATCTGTGGGTGTTGAAGGGTAGCCAGAGTGATTTGGAGGGAGGCCGCGGGTGCGGAGCGACCGGCGGATCACTAATGGAGATCGAGGAGGAGAGTTCTTTTGCTTCTTGATTTTGTGGGCATATTTGGTGGATTTGGAACTGCTGCGCTTGAAAAAGTCAGAGACCTCGGAGGCCTTAGAATGGAGCATCAAGGACGCGATCATCTCGCCGTTCCGGCGGATGTTCTCGAGCCGCTGGCTTTCATAATCCGTTAGGGTTTTCTTGGTCGCCATAGAGAAAGGGAGAGAGCGCGCTCGCAAAGTAAATGACCCCGAATAGTAGAAATTCATTTATTGGCTTGGCGTGGGTGCTGTAGAAGGCGGGAAAAAGAGGCGAGGCGAGTTTTGCTGTAATACTTGGCGCCATTTCCCGCGGCCGGGGTCGGCCGAGCTCTTGGCCACTATAAATCATTAAAAAATATGAGAACATTTAAGTTGGATGTATAAGTTAAATTTGATGAAGATAATTTTTTAATCATTCAATTTATTCTGACATATATATAATATAAAATTTAATTAAATAGCTATAAATTTTCTTACGTTAGATTTAAATTTGAATTAGACTCAGAAAAGGATTTTAGCATTTCAAAAGAAGAAGAAAAAAAATTAAATTAGAGAGCAAAGGAAAATGCTAAAGAAAGATGGAGAAGACAAAGAAGATTTACGATTTTGTCACTGATTTCCACTATAAAAGAGAATTGTTTTTGCCAAAAAAAATTCATAAAATAACCCCATAATATTGAATTTATAGAGCTTTAGATACTATAGAAAAAGCTATAAATGAATAAAATATGTATCTTAATATACAAAGCAGCCTCAAAGCAAAATCAAGTTGGAAACTTTCAAAATTAAAATTGGGACCATCAAAATTCCGATTTTAGTAAACTTACAGTCGAACTGATGGTTTAAAAAATATGAACCCAATGACACCAAATTCGACTCAATCCAAGCCCAAATGGATCCAAATCAAAGACCCGAAGTGATTTTGGAAGGTTCAAATCACAATTTGGATTACCAAAAGTTTTCCAAAGATGATATGCTTATAGTCGAATCGAGCTGCTCAACAAGACAAATCCAGCGAGCCCAAGATCACTAAATTCTGATATCACTATGACATTCAAATGTCCAATAAATAGTCAACGATCAAGGGAATCAACATCGGTCGTTCATACAAATCACTCCCAACTTACCCTTGATCTTCCTTCTATTTACTGGTCATGCCACTCTCAGAAATCTATAAATAAACCCCTGATTTCTCATGAAAAGGGATCCAAGCAAAGAAGCTGAAGGAAAGATCAAAGATCTCTCTTATGACCTAGCTCCTCCTCGACCACCGTCGGACTTCCGCCAGACCACCAACTAACTTCATACTTCCACTGAACCACTACTTGACACCGGACTTCCGTTGGACACCCAACTAATGTCAAACTTCTGTCGAACTACTAATTGATGCCCAAACTTTCGCCGGACCACCAACTGAAGCTAGACATCTGCCCGACCGAGCATCGCCGGACCTTCACCTTACCCCCGTCTATCACTAGGTTTTAACCAGATTGTTGATTATTATAATCTAATCATCCTCAAGTATGATTCAGTCAACTATAATATACTCAAACACTAGGGAAATCATTTCAATTGAGCGTGACCCCATTAATTTTTTCCCATTTTCAAGATTTTTGAAGTAAAAAATCTTGTGTTCTCTTCTTGTATGATGGATATTCGTGCAATGCTGAGACGTAAAATTCTAACTTTACTATCATATATATTCTAGCCCTCAACAATTTGGCATTGTATGTGGGAGCCTTAAACCCACTATCCCAAGTACTTCTTCAATGGACAATAAGAATAGTAATCGCATTTTGGGAACCTCCTATTCCAACTTCCATCAATCTAGGAATCAGTCTATGAATCATGGACACCAATTATCTACCTCTTTTTATTTTAGGGGAAAAACACTGCTAAATAAGGAACTTTAAGTCCTTCCCTAGAAGAACGTATTCGAAAGATGGAAGAATCTCAAAATGAGACAATTCAACTTCTACAATAAACTTGGCCACTAGTACTAGCAAAACAAGAGGAGGTTCTTCTCCCTCGATATCCACTACAAGCTTAAGGTGTTCAACCCAAACATCTTCATGTAGAGATTCCTCCTGCTCCGTTAAGGAGGCAACTACAATCACATAAAGACAACAAACTTGCTGACACAACAAGTTCTATACATCTTTCGCACACAGGTCAGCAACCTCGCATTCCTTAGGACATCCTTAAAGACTTAGCCTGATCGTACATTGCTAAGCTCCCTCGCAATGCCCTATATCATGAATTACGAAGATTGGTTTGAGAAGATTTCCATGTGAGAGGTTTAAGATAATCTCTTTCTCAGTTGACTTCTAGGAGTCATCACCCCTAACTGAAGCCATTTTTCAACACCCCATTCTAACAAGGTTCAAACTATGGAGTATCAATTCCTATGATGGGACATCCAACCCCTACAATCATATCAATCACTATATAAGCATAATGTATATCCAGTGAGCCTCAGATGTGCTCATTTGCCAAGTTTTCCTTGCCACCCTCAAGGGACAAGCTCGGACATGCTTCAATTCACTTCCAGCTAGAACAATCTCCACATCCGTCAAATTGGCTAAAGTGTTCGTCAAATAATAATAGCCAATCAAAGAATTGATAATGATTCTTCACCTCTCTAGGATTTGCAAAAATGAAGGAGAATAACTTAAGGAATATTTTTGATGATTTTCGATCAAGGCTTAGCAAATTTCAGGAGTGGATCCTAAATTACTAAGAAGAGTTTCACTTAGAGGCCTCCATCCTATACCCTTTTACTCGACACTTATGTGAGACACATTTATTTTGTATGTTGATCTGATCCATTATATGGAGGTACAAATATCAATAGATGAATCCATCAATGCTCATAGGAAGCAATTTGAGTAACATTTTAGAAAGTGCAAAAATGCTCCTATATTGAATAACTTATTATTATTGCAAATAAAATAAGGGAAGAATAACCTGCCTCCTAGACCCCCATTATCATGACATAGATTCGACAAGAGGATGAGTATACACTATTGAATGCATCTAAAGAAAATGTATTGATGGTTATTCAAGTTCAAGAAAATATTAAGAGACTTAATCCTTTGAAATCAAATATGGGAAATCAGGATCAATACTATCATTTCCACCATAGTCGTGGGCACACCAATAAAACCTATAAGCCGCTCAAGAATGAAATTGAGAGACTTATCTGATAATGATACCTTCGATAGTTTATTCAAAATTCACCTAATTGAGATGACGCTCATCTAACTAGGGAGCAAAAACAACAACAACAAAGACAACCATTGAATAATTATCAAATGGTTAGTGAGATTAAAAATATTATAGGGGGCCCTTATTGCCTAATTAAATTTTACTGGCTGAAGATGAAAAGCCAACATTAATGATTCTGAATTAGAGGGAGTAAAAACCCCTCATCAAGATCCACTCATGATTAGTGTGAGGATTAGTGACCCGTGTTACAACATCAAAATGATCTTGGTCGACAATGGGAGCTCGATGGATGCCCTATTTTTCTCTACTTTTCTTAACATGGGCCTTGCCAAAGAAGACCTTTAACCTGTCAGAAGACCTCTATATGGGTTTGATAATCGACCCGTATGAGTAGAAGGAATAATTAGCCTCCTAGTTGTACTTGTAGAATTATCTTAATAAGCTACTGACACAATCCATTTTTATTATGATAAAATTAGAGTTAGATTATAATGTTATCTATAAAAGACCCCTCAGTTAATCTTTGGAGTCGTTGCCTCTACTTCACACCTCAAACTAAAATTCTCACCTTTACTGGATCGGTATGGTGCGAGAAGACCAACAAATGGCATAATCTTGCTATCTTAAATAGTTTTAACCATGTCCATGTGTTACCTGAATCATAAAAGATTTCAATTTCAAAATAAAGTTATCCTTCAAAAGGCTTCTCTTATAAAAGAACTCACTTCTATATTCATTTTTAAAGAGCACCCTTAAATGACCACATAATTTGGGTCATTGTGTTAATAATATTACTTGTCTTGTGTCATCGTGCACCTCTTCTATGTTGAATATAGTGTCACTTTGATATCATGGTGTCCTCATATGTATATCTTATGTTTTGAATATGGTGTAGTTCTTATATCCCTAGGTCATATTAGGGAGCTATTGTATTATCTTACATAATATAATAAAATGTTGTTTGTTCTGTTCTAATATTATCTCCTTTTTTAAAAAGAATAAAAAAGATAATAAAAACTAATAATGAATCTAATCTCTTTATCCTTGATTCAAGAAATATATATTCTTTATTGCACCTTAATTACTAGATGATTAATCTCAGGGGCATTTGATCCGACCTCTTTTATATAGGTTAAGGTCATCGAGCAATACTCTAACATACAATCTCAGATAAGTCAAATATCATAGGAGAATGTCAATTAAATCATAAAATCCTTGATTCTAGAAATATATAATTTTTATTGTATCTCAATCACTAGATGATCAATCCTAGGGGGATTCGATCTGACCTTTTCCATATAGACTAACGTCATCGAGCAATACTCTAACATATAACCTCAGATAGGTCAAACATCATGGGACAATGTCAATTAAATCATAAAATCCTTAATTTCAGAAATACACAATCTTTATTGTGTCTTAATCACTAGATGATCAATCCTATGGAGATTTGATCCAACATCTTTCATATAGGTTAATATCATCGAGCAATATTCTGACATACAACCTCGGATAGGTCAAACATCTTAGGAGAATATTAATCAAATCTTAAATCTTTGACTCAAGAAATATGTAATTTTTATTATGTCTCTGTCACTAGATAATCGATCCTAAGGGGATTCAATCCAACCTCTTCCACACAGGTAAATACCATCAAGAAATAGTTTGGTAAATAATCTTTGATAGGTCAAATATCCTTAATGGGTTTTCTCGACCTCTTCTAAACATGTTAACATTATCAAGAAACCCTTTGATGAACACTCTTAAAATGATCAAAGCACTAATAAAGCCTTAGCTCATTTGGTATTATATTACTAGGCTACTGGTATAGGTGCATAACTTGACCACCTCTATAAGGCTATTCATCGTTCAACTCCCATTAATATAGATGCCTACTACTTCCAACAAACATTCCCACCAATTATCTCCTTTAGCTCTCCACTTGGCCATCAACTATTATAAATCTTGATTCAAAGATTATAATTTTGATGATAGCAAATATTTTTAACATCTCTATTTTTCCAGCTATTACCCTGTCTACTAATGTTTCAGGTCTATAAGGTCAATTGCAAATCAAGCCAGCTCAAGATTGGGTAGATTA